TAACTTAATTATTTTCCTAAGGTGTGCAAAAAATATAATGACTAAAGACATACTTAATAAACATAGGAAATTACATACTTCTATAATGTTGTGGTAAACGCAGTCTAAACTGTTTCTCCATATAGTCGTCAACTTCATGGCACCGGCCAAACAAAAATTCATGACAAACATATCGGCGTCTACTCAGCGACACGTAGGAGAAAACACACACAATTAAAGCTCCAGTAGTAAATCTCGAAGACGCCGGCGCACATACTACTCACGCCGGCCGACCTTCTCGCGGGCAGACATTCATTTCAATTTCATGTCCCCTTTGATCTGATACCGCCCCGCGAGTGCGTGACCGAATGGCACAAACACGGCGGCGGAGGTGAGGGGGAGGGCCGGGGTGGGTCCGGTTGGGCTGGGGGAATTATACCGCTCAATTTGTCTCTAATGCTTCCGCTGATTCAACGAGGCGGCGCGGCCGACGACGCGACGGTGCGAGAACAAGACCAATAACGAAACGAAGCGATGATCCATGTATCGGGATAACACAGAGAGGAGTAGGAAATATGTACACAGTCTAACTACAAGGAGGGGATGGTTTTCAATATCTATAGCAAAGGCGACACCTGCACTACCCAACTGCATCGGGCGGGCTTGAGCGGCTGGGACGGCTGGAGTGGCTGGAATGGCTGGTGGAGGGGCTAGAGTGGCTGGAGTGGCTGGATAGGCTGCAGTGGCTGGAGCAGCTAGGTGGCTGGAGTGGTTGGTGGGTGATGCGCGGACTGGCGCGGGGCGAGGCTGTGGTTCGGTAAGCATGTGCGGATGGGGTTGACGTTGCTTTGGGTGCAAACATGGAGTATACAACACAAGGCCTCAAGCGTGCACCTGTAAACAGTTTGTACACATATTACACACTACACACAACAAGTAATTTGCATTGAATAACTCAAAAGTGGATAGCTATACAGTGGAGTGCAAAGGTGTGGGTGCTCGTCATACGTCTCGTGTCGCAACGCTAGCTAAAAGCGTTCGGCCGAAATCGTTCAAAGCGAGGTCTGAGTCACCACCGCGCTAGCTGCGCGGCACGGGCAGGGGGGGGGGGGGCAGGTAACGTGGAGACTGGGTAGACACTGTACCTCGCGTCCGGGACACAAAACACGTACCACTCACGGCGGCCCAAATAAGTAGTTGGCTTCAAGCGGGCTAAAGTACATGTTACACATAGTATCACAGAGCCAGCGGGTAAGTCAGGTTTTCCCTACATGTCGTATGTGTAATGTACAAGAGGCAGTGAAAACAGTGAGGTCCTCACTCTAGGAGTTCGCTGTCGAACGCCAACATGTCCCTAAAATTGTTTCGGTTTGAGGTACGTTCCCAGGGTGCGCGCCGGTGAAACACTGCAGAGTCTTTATCAGCGCCGGGGCCGTGTGTCGCAATAAGGTCCGAGTCCTGTCAGTTGCGTTGCGTGGCGTTGCGCGGCGTCGCGCCTTAGCACGTTCACACCTCCGACTCGCTGCCCTGGTAGCCGCCCGGCGAGGCGGGCGGGTAGGGCGAGGGGCGCACCTTGTTGGGCACGCCGTAGCCGGAGCCGATCTCCGACACCGAGGAGGGCTCCTTCCTGAAGAGCTTGCCCGACGGGTGCGACGCGGCGGCCACGGGCCCCGGGGAGGGCGGACGCTGGCCTGCGCCGTCGGCGGGGCCAGATGGCTCGCTGGGCGAGGAGGACGGCGTCTTGGGGGCGACCTCGGGCCAGTTGTGCGCCGTGTGCAGCACGTAGCCCGGGTCGCGCGGCGAGGCGGGCGTCTGTGCCCGCGACTCCTCCCTGCTGACAGACGCCGAGCCCAGCGTCTTCCTGGGCAGGTCGCCGCTCATCCTCCAGCGGCGGGACAGCTCCTCGGGCTCGTCCGCCAGCGCGCGGCCGACGGCCGCCCCGCCGGCCCAGTCCAGGCTGCGCACCGACGCCAGTGTGGGCCTAGCGCCGCGGCTGGACAGGGGCGCCGGGGAGGCGGGCGACGGCGGAGCTTCCGAGGCGTAGTGGAAACGCGACGGCTTCTGCGACACGGGCGGCGACAGCGGTGGCTCGTAGCGTCGGTCCCGGTCGTCCTCATAGGGCCGGTCGGCCGCGCCGCCGCCGCTGGACCAGGCGCGCCTGTGCCGGTACTCGTCCATGGGCGGCGGCGCGGGAGCGACGCTGGCCGCCGACGGCAACATGCCGCCCGGCACCGAGCGCGTGGACATGCTCTGCTTGCCGTAGCGCTGGATGCGGTACATGCGCTCGATCTCGAGGAAGTCCTTCGAGTCCTCAGCTCCGCCCCGGTAGTAGTCGCGATCCCGCTCCAGGTCGTCCATGGAGGCGGCCCTGGATGGCGGCGCGCGCTCGGCCCTCTCGGCGGCCCGCTCCGACGGCAGGTCGCTGTAAAAGTAGCGCGAGGACCGACCGTTGCCACTGGCGTCCGTGAACACGGAGCCGTCCGGTGTGGTGGCGCCCGACGTGTACCGGCTGCGCCCTTCCTCGCGGTCGTAGCGATCTCGTTCGCGGTCTCGTTCGCGGTCGTACTGGCGCTCGCGTTCTCTCTCACGTTCGCGTTGACGTTCTCGCTCACGCTCTCGTTCGCGTTCTCTCTCCCTCTCTTTCTCCTTCTCCCTCTCCCTCTCTCTTTCCCGCTCCCTCTCTCTCTCCCTCTCCCTCTCGCGCTCTCGCTCGCGCTCCCTGTCGCTGGCCATCTTTTCTTTGTCCTTCTCGGCCAGCAGGAAGGACACGCTCGGGATGTGCAGCGAGTCCGAGTCGCTCTCGGGCTCCTTGTCCTGGAAGCGGAGGCCGGCGGCCTTGGCGCTGCTGGAGCTGACCTTGTGGCTCTGCAGCCCGTGCGGCTCGTCCTCGCGCTCGCCGCGGCGCCCCCAGCCGCTGCCCCGGCCCTCGCCCTCGACCCTCTTCAGCGACGACTTGAGGTGGTGGCCGCGGTCCACGCCGTTGGCCATGACGTGCTTGTCCGACTCCTTCTTGGGTGTCATGGGCGGAGCCGTGGCCGCGGCGTCCACCTCGTCCTGGGTGGGGTCCGTCGGATCCTTGCCGTCTCGAAGCACCTTCCGAAGCTGGCCGGCGACGGCCTCGTGGTTCTCGGGTCCGCGCTGCACACCGGCGGGCAGCTTGACGGTCTCGCCCGCCTCCATGGCCTTGAGGGCGGCCTTCTCGTCCATCTCGGCGGCGACCGGGCCGTGGCCGTTGGCGGCGTGGCCGTTCTGGCCGCGGCGGTCCTTGGCGGCCTGCTGCTCCTTGGCGGCGAGCGCGCTGCGCTTGCGGCGCCGCTTGCCCAGCAGCAGGTCCAGGATGAGCAGCAGCCCGCACACGAGCGACAGCACGCCCAGCACGGCCGCGTTCTTGACGAGGTGCTGCGGCACCATGTCGAGTGCCGCCAGCTCCAGCCCGCCGGCCGCCAGGAACATGAGCGCTCCCAGCCCCAGCAGGAAGTTCTCCTGCGGACACAAGAGAGCATCAGCACTGCCAGTGCGGCTAAACGTCGTGGGATTCGCGACCCCTGACTGCCGCCGCCCT